TACATTAAAATATGAAAGTAAAAGAAAATATGCTGATATATAAAGACATGCACACTGTAGCGGACAGAAAGGAACAAATGGAAGGGGATGACTTTAAAAATATATTAATTTACATACCAGTGACAACAGAGTCCAGGGTTTGCAGACTCTTTCCCTTCAGCCCCTCTGTCCCACGTTCCATCGTGAAAAGTAGTTTGCCAATCTTGGCCACTTGGAAAGTTGTATCTGTCTGCTGATAATTCTCGAAGTATGTCCCATAAAACAAGCAACTCGCTCGAGTTCCTGATTATTGAGGTTGAGAAGCTGACACAAGGTAGCAACGTGCTTCCCTAACTTTGTTGACCTCAGCAGTTCTGGGTTTTTGGCCTTGCTTTCTTGTGCATATCTTCTGAGGCAGTCACAGCCACGAAGATTGGTGGTCGTGCCAACCCTCGCAAACAGAAATGGGTTCTCCTCAAGTATGCCGACTTCCCTCCGTTTTTCAATCAGGAAGTTAAGTGAAGCTTGAGTTGGTTCAAGGAGGAGGATGGGGACCTTTCTCCCTCTCTTTCCTTGGGTTACCAAACGCGTCAGTCTGTGGCTTAGCTGCTTTTCCACGGGTGATAGAGTCTCATATACTGTATGTCCTTATTGAGAGGGCCTGTGTCTCCTTTTAAATATGTTCCAAGGGTTAAAACGTGACGCTTCACGTGCTTCTTACTGAAAACAATTATTTGAGCGAGAAGGCTTTCACTTAACTTTTTGTATGCTGTGATGCTCACACGCGCTGTCAGCTCTGCCTTTGCCTCATCCTCAGCTTCCAATACAACAGCGGGTCTTGGTCACGTGCAATATTCCCCTGTGCCAAGTATCGCTGGACCATAGATATTGCATCTGCTGTTGTACCTCTTCCTAGTCTCCCCACCTCATCATCCAGATGCTGCCACAGGCCACCTAAAAAACAAAACCCAACAAATTGGCATTTAGAACAGCTTCCAATAAACTAATAATGATGAGTAACATGCCAGATGTAGTTGCAGAGGGCTGCGATGATGGTCCGGGCTGGGCCTCGATTGTGCGCCCGATGACGACACGCACGCACTCAGACTGCAGTCTGGATATGGCCTCCGTGCACCTGGACGAACTGCGGAATCCAAGTGATTTGAATGTGGGGTCTAGAAGTGCTGCTAAGGTTAACACACTCAGACTCCAAACTGGAAGCAGTGTCTGTGACTTGACGCTTGAGATGTTCGTGGAGTTGTATGACTGGCTGTGAGTGCAAGGTTGAAGCGTGGCGCTCAAGTGCATGATAAAGCATTTTCATCATCGGGATGACCTTTGAACCAGACACTCGCCTTTCTTCAGACAACTCCACTGTAGCTTGATGGAATGGAGAAAGCACTAGTAGTGCTTCTCTTATGATGGTGAACTCATCAGCTGTCAGTGGAGCCAAATCTGTCTTTAGGGAGGCCAAAGATACCCACACTGGTTCCCTCTCATCATGCAGCCTTGACAGCATTTCATAGGTACTGTTCCAGCATGTTGGCACCTCATTGATGAGTTTCAGGGTTGAACGTCCCATCTGTTGCTGCACCTGAGCAAGCTTCTCCTTGGCTGTAGTGCTTGAACGGAAAAATGTGACAATGTGCCGAGCTTTGTTCCTGATGTCTGTAAGTGCAGGGACCTGATCGCATGATTTTCTAACTAATAAATTAAGATTGTGTGCAATGCAAATTGAGTGGCTTATTTGGATGTGTCTAGTGGATGTGACCATGTTTGGTGCTGCGTCAGTCACAAGACACTATTTGTTGGTTATGGCCCAGTCGTCCATCATGCCCCTTTTGACCTGGGACAAATTGTCAGCAGTGTGATTCTGTGGAAAATATTGTACTCTCAACACTGATGAACACAATTGCATATTTGCATTAATGTAGTGACAGGTGAGTGCCAAGTAGGCCTCCATGTTCACAGAGGTCCACATGTCAGTTGTTATACTCACTGCCACAGTTTGCTGCACTTCCATTTTCACTTATTCCTGTTCTTCCTTGTATTTGTTGGCCAACATTTTCTTGATGGACTGAAAATTAAACCAAGAGCAAATACGTTATAGGCGATTCATCTACAATATGGAACTTTCACACAGACCTTTCTTGTCGGCAAAACATATCAGGTTCAAGGACCTGAATCAGTTCCTTGAACCCTTCACTCTCCACAATGCTGAGGGGCTGGGAGTCCTTGACAATGAAGTTCAGCAGTGCCTGATCGAGCAACTGCTTCCTGGAAGCTTGATTGTCAAACATGAAGTGGAGAGTGAACCAATAATTACTGATTGCCAATTAATTATCAACATAGCAACCGTGAAAAGCTAATAGAATGGCTGTATACCTGGTGTTATCCTGGGTGTATAGGGAACTTCATTCTCATGCTTGGCCCGATAATGCCTCAGCATGGTGGAGGTGCTTTTGTTGGCATATAATGCGACCTGGCAAATTCGACATTTTACCTGCAATAAAATGTGAATAGCAAACTAAGAGTTACTTTTAAATGAATTTGAATTAGAATGGAACACCACGTCAATTATCTGAGAGGCACTTTGTGAGAGAACGAGATTTGAAGAAATACCTTATTCTCCAAAAGGAGATCAAAATGGTCACACACGGTGGATAATTTGCATTTCTGCTCCATAATAGGCACGAACTTCGACAAGCGAGCGAGAGTGAGGTCTGGCTTGTTTTGGCAGGCAGCATCGTGTCGCAAGACACACTTCCTTATAAACACTGTGTGGCGGGCTTTTGCTGCGTCGACGCCCCCTGGACTGAGTCGACGCACTCCTCGATGCAGTCCAGGCTGCGGCGACGCAGTTCACGTGTTGATCACGTGATCGTCACGAGGCAGCACACACACCGACACGTGGATTGCTCTGTAAGCCCGACGCATGCGTCGACAACATTGGTGTCGCTGGACCCATCACTAGTATCCAGCAACTCTAAACTTTTATGCCTTTTTTTCTGCTTTGACATTCGACGTCAAGCACTGGCCTATGCAGGCCTCAGTTGCCCCTTTGAGGGAAAACCCAATTTTAACTGCTGTAGATGGCTTGCCAGACTCATTCTTGGTTGCATCGTAGTTCGGCACATGCTTGGCTGCTTGAATTGCCATCTGAAAATTTGCTGAATCACACAGGTCTTTCAGACTTTTGACATGCTTGTTAATTTTCTTGGTGGCCAACACAAACCGTCCCAGTTCTCTCATTTTTTTGTGTAATGTATCGGTTCTGAGATTGTTCTCGGCCCTTTTTTGCAAATAATGCATCTCCATATGCACAAATCATTTCATCACTTCTGAGATGAGATGTAACATAATCCTGTAGCATGGAATGAATTGTTGTCTGTACTCCACTGGATGATTCTCTAACTGGAATCAGGTGTGAGGACGATTTTTGCACTCTTGCGCTTTTGTTTTTCTGTCCTTCCTCAATATGACTTTGCGTGTCTCCAGAGTTCGGTCCTCTTGAACATTGCAAAACAGTATTGACATGGTAGGTATTTTTCGATGTCTACCTTCGCAGAAGGCTGTTTCCATGTCACAATCTCACCATTTCCTTCTTTTAAAACAGTGAGATTGTGTTGCCAGTCGCCCTTATTACGAAGGCCTTCTAACAATGTCTTCCTTTGTATGGAGCGAACCAGGAAGCTAAATGCATAGGCGACATCACATTTGTCACTATGTTTTCTTTTGAGAAGTCTGGATATCTTCATTTGAGCCTTTAGCAGTAAATACAACAGTGAACTTTGTCCCAGACTCTGGCACCATCCTTTTTTGTGCTAGTCTTAATCGTAATTTGGTTCCTTTTTTGGCCATCATTTAACTTCTTTGTTCCTTTTGATTTCATACCTTTTTGTTTTGATTTGCCTTGAGGTCCTGAGCTTCCCCAACCTTAGTTCTACAAGATGCCAAATCAAGGTGGTCCTTGACTGATCCACTGCTATAGGAACCCTCATCTTCACTGGATGATGGTTTGTAATCATCTCCACTTTGGGTGGATGACAGACTTCTCTGTGAGCACCTCAGCACTTGATGATGATGATGGTGTTGAGGTGGTGGAGCAGGCTTTCTCATCAGGCCTCTCTTTGAGAAGATGTGTATGTTTCCCTGATGACTGGCCATCGCGCATTTGAGCCTTCACGCCAGGGCAGAAGAGGGGAAAAACAGGGAAATTGATCAATTTTGCAGACAACTGAGATGGTGAAAAACAGTTTTCTGATAGATCTCAGCAATTCTGTACAAAGTTTCTCTCTTTGCCGCTGTTTTCAACACTTATCTTCCAACTTGCGTTAATGAAAATTAGACGAAATTTTGTTGTCACACATTTTCACAGGATGGAAAGTAGACCAGATGCAACTTAAACCTTCATTAATAAACAAAAAGTACGACTTAATCAGCATGCATTTTCTAGTCTAATGGAAAAGAGACAAAAATATGATTAAATAAAAACTGGGCAAAAATCTATGGACACTTTAGTTCATGGGCAGAAACAAGACGAAAATGAATATGATTTATTGCCATCAATTACCGGTCATTCGACCAAGCTCTCACGTGATTCAGGGTAAACAACGGTGGCTAATCTCGGAGATGCAGATTAACTGTAGATAACACAAATCACCTTGGCAGCTACACATGGATGCAAACTAAAACAAACTTAAGGAATTCTTTTCCCTAAATCAAACTAAAATGATATGCCACGCACAATTCAAAACAACTTTAACCTAACTTTTCATTCATGAAATGTCTATGAATATGGAAATGTTCAATATTATTAACTGACAAAAAAATGTTAAAGGGTAAAATGATTGTCCTGACTAAAATTCCTGGCTAAAAGTAGATGAATAACATTGTTTTGTTGGATGAAAATAAAGACAAAAATGCTCGACTCATTGTCAACTAAAACTTGACTAAATAAAAAGGAATGAGACTGACTAAATATGATTTAAAAATAAAAGTGTGATTGAAATTGGGCTAAAAATTGACACCATGTAAAAATGGCTGATTAAAATTAACACTACCTCCAACATATTTAATGTATTTACAAATGCACAGAAATTACTTTCAAAGTGTTCGGGCACAGGAAAGGGAGAAGTAGCAGTGGATCCAAGAGGAAGTCGTAAGGTAACGTGGTCCGTGGGGAAAACGCAGAGGCAGGCTGGGCAGGGAGCCACTGGGAAAAGACAAGCGAGAATAAATATTTATGCACCAAACATCCAAAAAGGGCAAGCGTGTGCACTAGAAAAGGCCTAGATACCACTCGTAACTCAAGAATCATCTGGCACCCGCTTGCAGATCAGCAGAGGTATGATACACAGGTGGTGATTGCTGATCAGCTAGCTGCAGGTGCGGGAGCACCCTCTGGCCCAGCCTGATAATTAGAGGAAGCAAATAAAGTCCCGGAAGTGGACCACCAAAATAAATGAGGAAGTCACAATACAAAAACCTAAGGAGGATCACGTCACAAAAAGGTCTTTATGTGGAACAAATGGCTTATTTCCAACTCATGCCTGGCTGCAAGAAATTGTAAACATAATACAAAAAATTATAGTAATAAATAAAATGGTACAGAGCAGTGTTTGAACCTGTGATAATAAAACTCATGTTGGAGGGTCTGTGAAGCTAACCAACTGGCGTTAAAAAGAATAGCACAGCTCGCGTTGGCCTGCAATCCACCTCATTCATTCGTTATTTAATAAAAAAGAAAATGAAACATTTTTCTCAAGAAAAAAAAAGGTTTCTGGCTAGACTAAACCAGCCTAGTTTAGTACAATAGCGTGAGCAATAGCACTGGCTTATGTTTACTTCATTTGTCTGCTGATTTCAATTCGCGAGGTCTTATTTTTGCCGAAATATAAACTACATAATATGCGCAAGGTTACTAAATTGCTGCTTTCTGTTTTTAGATCGCCATCGTTTCTTCGTTGCTTTCGTGAACAAAATCCACACGGTCAAGGTCATTAGGTTTCATTGGTCTACATAAAGCAACTTTAAATTAAAATCAATTTACGGCCCATCGCTAACGGACACCTAGCCTGCCGTTGACGACTGATTTATGAGCGAAACCTCGGAAAGAATACACGGACTGAGAAGGACCGTCTGTACTGACAAGTACAATGACAAGTCCCGAACCGGTGGAGAACCCGGAGACGAACGAAAACGATCTTCCGTCGGTGCTCAGTACGCGGATTGTTACGACGACAAGCTGGACGCATTCGCGGGTGTCCGCGTCACGACAAAGAAAAATGATTGCTTACCTGAGCATTGTCATATCGTTCGGCACACTGTCGGTGGCGCTCCCGGTAAACTGCGAATCTTCTTCGTCGTCTGTCCATGTCAAAAAGCTGAATGCCTGAGCCAACTAGTGTAGGTTGTCCAGGTACAGAAGTTTAAGTACAATGCACGCGCCAAAATCTATCACGTGAACACTTGACTGCGCTTCTCCGGCTTTGATTTCAATAATTGGTTTCCTAATTGATGCGAGGGGGGAGGAGGGAGATGGGGACAGCCGCAACTGTGGAGTGAAAACTCAACTTAACTCTTGATCAACCCTTTCATGGTCTTCTCACTTTAACGATGAGATCTTTTCTTCAGCGATACATCGGTGTTTATTTGAACGGCGGGGGGAAGAGGACAAACAGCTTGCCCGTTTTTATATGGCTGACTACGTCATTCACCACGAACAAAATGCAGAGTAGAGTTATATTGCCCTCTGCTGGCTCAGCTGCAAAAAGGCACTCATACAACTTTAATTATAAGAATAATAATAACAACAATAATAATAATAATAATAATAATACATTTCATTTATAAGCGCCTTTCAAGACACTCAAGGACACTTTACAACCAAAACAAGAACAATAAAACCACAGATAAAATTAACAATCTATTAAAGAAATTCAAACAAATTAAAACATCCATACTGATTAAAACATCCATACTGTTTATGCAGTGATCTGCTTCAGTTATTACAGTTTGGAATATTGTCAAAGATGTTCCATATTTATGCTTGTCCGTTTTTCCTACTTCCAACACTACAACATCACTTGAAGAAGTTTACTGGCTCCTTTCTGCATCCACCATTTAACATTGCTGCCATTGAAACGAATATACAGGTACCCTTAAACTGTCAGAGGGGCTAATGTTGTGGTTTATCAATGTAGTAATACAATAATACTGAAATAACAACCTATATTTCCAACCCGCCTTTCCAAAAAGATGAGAAATGTCATTGTTTCTTCATTTAATACAGGGGTCTCACACTCGTGGGCCACGTAACGCTACTTTGAGCCCCCCCCCCCCCCGCCTTGATGTGAAAGTTTAATGTTAGTGCAGCCAGTGCAAGTTTGATATGGATGCTGTAAGTACAGTATTAGCACTACTTCTGTGCTAAAAAGTTAGGTCTGTCTCATTCGAAGGCTGACAGCTTCGGAACACCTGAACTATAAGGGCAACGTGACCGCGCCCACAGTTCCCAGCACCAGCTTGAATACACATGTAAACCACGAATACAAACAACCCATCCGCTGCTGCCCTTGTTAGTTCTGCTGAATACACATTTAAACAGATAAACAACACACTGGTGTGGCTGTCACCAGAGCCAAGTGCTCCGAGGCACGCGACCTGATGTTACACACGCACAAGAATGGGGAAAATGAGAGCTAAGGCTAAAGTTTTATGTGTATGTGTCTATGTTAGCATTAGCTCCATGCTAGCTGGTAGCCAAACTTTTCAAACTTTATTACATTTTCTAATTAATTTAATTTAATTTTAAATGGCCACCACAAACTATTTGTGTTTCCATGGTTTCTAACCTTCAACCAATCTCTAACTGTGCCATGCTTGACGTCATATGCAGCCCCAGGACCCTGAGTCGATCTGGTACCAGCGGAAATAATGTTCTTTGTACGTCAGCTAAACTTTAAAACTAAAACTTCAACAAGACAGTGATACCTAGTGGAATTTAATACTATATATGACACAGCCCGAACATGTCTTTCTCAAAGCCTGCAGTGAAGAGAAAGGTTGGTGATGAGCACAGATAATTTCAGGAATAGTGGGAAATACAATATTTCTTTGTGGAGCACTCGGGGCACCCTGACGACACTTATTTGCACAGAGAAAGTTGCGGTGCTTAAGAATTACTATTTGAAACTCATTACACAACTAGACATGCAAATTACCAGGGAGATGAGAGAGTCAATCAAGTTGCAAGTCTTAAAACATGGCTAGTGAAGCAACCAAACTTTTTTTTAAGAAAGTAACCAAAGACAATCAAAGCTAGCTATGTGGTAAGTGAGATGATTGCTAAAGCAGGGAAGCCATTCACAGAAGGTGAATTTGTCAAAAAGTGCCTGTTATAGGCCACAAGTATTGTCTGTAGAGAAAAGAAAAGTCAGTTAAGCAACATTAGCCTTTCTGCCAACACTGTGGCAGAGTGCATTGCTTGGATGCGATGTGCTGTTGTGGGAACTGATTTACAAAGTCTACTCTTTACTGGTCGTCATGCTGCATTGTATGAATAATAACTGCATTGTTTAAATTCTAGTGGAAAATTCTAATGTTTTATTCATACCTTTTTAATGTGAAACGTGCATATTTACACCCTAATTGCCATGCTAAGGAAAAAACTGTTAGTGTATAAGATGTGAAGCCTATTTTATTGGCTTTCTTGACCCCAGAAATGTATACACTGACACCAAATTTGTCATTGTAGCAATAACAGAAACAGAGGCTTGGGCTCCAGAGTATCTTTCGGGAATGGTGGCCATTAAAAAAATAAAACACGTTCAATTACTGTACACATTATTATCTCACTTGTGTCTTGTATGACGCCAACATACAGTACTTTCTATACCAACACATTGCATTGCATCACGACTTGAAGTCTAAGGCCTATTTTTTGAGCTAAGGCGCTCTACCAGTTGTGTTTTCCTGGAAGTAGAACATCAGTTTGTTGAGATTGGTGCTGTGGAGAACGCTGGTCATTTATACTCTACTCTAGCCTTGGGGCTAGCGATCAATAGCTCATATATTAGCTCATGCAAAAGTTATTAAAATGAAAACAGTCATGTAAATATGTTTTAAATACAGAAATTTCAACTAAAACACCTTTAAGCTGGCATTTTAAAATTCCGATTAGAAGAGGCATACTTGAAACATGCAATATTCCACAGTACCTGTATTTAAGTTCAAGTCAGCCGTGTGGACATGCAGCAGGGTCATGAACATTATTCCCTCTAATTTTCCATTTGTAATAGCATTCACACAAACTCTCGGAGAATTGCTTGGACCACAGTGAGCAAAATCAGACATGCATGTGACAGCCAAACCAGTGTCAGACCTGTCCAAAACCTGAGATCACAAGTTACATGAAGTAGATACATACCTGTCAACTTTTCGGCGCGCCAACCTGTATAAACTACCAAAAAAAATCCTGATAAAGAGCAAAAAATCCTTATAACATACCAAAGCATTTTATATGTCAAAATAACGGCAGAAAAAAACCCACGAAATTTTCAATGATATTTATTGTAGATCTCCATAATACAATGTCTGGTTAATGTCTAATCATCATTCTACTTAGTGGCATTACTGTGTTCAGAGTTGTAGCGTTCCTTTTTTCACCAACTCCAAATGCTGACCCATCGGCTCGAAGTTACAGTATTCATTCATATTCGCATTCAAGTATGCAATGAATACACTGCTGTTTTCAACTAGGAACCACGTGATTTACTGGAAAGTTACCGGAAATGAAAAAAAAACGGGGGGAAAAAAAAATGGAAATTTTCAGAATCCGTATGATTTGTGCGATACGGCCATATACGTAAGATTCACCACAAAATCCGTATGAACTATGGCTAAACCGTATGAGTTGACAGGTATGTAGATATGTTACAAAACAAACGAACAAACCAAAAAAAAAATCAAACTACCTATACATTAAAAAAAAATCAAACCACTGAATAGAGATTTGTCACATAAATAACAGCCCTCATTCGTTACTTTTATTTTAGCACACAAGTCATTTCAAGAATAATCAAGTCTCAATACAACCTGTATCAATATTATCCCACAATGCCCACTCGTTAATAATGGAAAACATGTCATTTAGATAATCATAAACATTTCTAGTCCCCTGACCACTGAAAAGTGTCAAAGAGGCTCATTTTAGGGGCTCGTAAACTATGTCCATATTTGGTCCTCCTGAATGAAGCGGTCACAGTGTCGCCTGCAGCGTCTTGTCTGCGGTGGGTGTGAGTGCTTGTGTGTCAATATATGATTACAACTTAAGCAAAACGACTGCGTGTGCACTGTGCACCCTCGGCCACACGACTGAAACTATAAGGGAAGTGGGAATGATGTTGTGTCCTGATTATAGATTCAACTCGGGTGTAAATGAAGGAATTAATGTAGAAATGCCTGTGCATGGTGCGCGCCAACACCACCGTGTGCGCTGGGAGCACGAGAGTAGCGCGAAATTGCTCACGCGTACAATTTAGAGGGAACATTGTTCAAGCCGAGGTTGGTTACTGATTCACAGCCTCTTCAAAGGGAAACCATGCCTGCAAGCTGAATTCTCGCGGTATTTGTGAATTCACACAAACCCCAGAATCCACCTTGTCAAAAACTCGCCGATTTCAGTGCGGACCAATCATAAGGCAGCGGTGTGTTTGGGGGCGGGGAAAATTATGCAGTTATGACGAGAATTTCTCGTTTTACAATCAGCTTTGGTCAAAAATTAATGTTGTTTCACAGGTGTTCAAAATTTGCCATATCGCTCAATCAGTCGGAAGTATTGTAGTGAACGTCCCGCCTTTCCCGAGCAGATACATTGGATGGTAAACTTCAACAGCAACACTGAGTAACAACTCTGTTTATTGCTCAGCTAACTTTTACGATAGATCGTAACACATCGTAAAAGGTGGGCTTTCACCAGTTTGGATAACCACATTTCATATTCTAGAGCATTTGCTATATGCATCACGTAAAAAGGGACATTTAACTGTTTTGCAGCCAAAAATAACGACTGCATTGCTCAACTGCTGGTTCATACATGACCAGCACATAACCCACAATTTGCAGTCATTCCAGTAGTTTCTTCAAATTCCGGTCGGTACTAACACTGATTGGGAGGAATGTTGGCGCCATTTATATATTTTATGAGAGACGCCCACAAGGTATAAATCGTTATAAATCAGTCAGACATTGCTGATGATTTGTTGTTTCCTTTAATTTAACTAACTTGGATAGTTTGAGCTTTGCCGAGCTTTTCCATGTTTTTGAAGATTAACATGATATAAAGTACAGTCATACCATGCATGCCCCCGGACCCCCCTAAAAGGGCTGTGTTCCCCTTGGGGCTAAGCCCCCCTTGTTCTTCAAACCTAGTGACGCCCCTGCATACCATATCGAATCAAACCATAATCCCATTGAATTAAAGCACAGTGAATCATTACAATTTGAAATTATTACATCCTGCTTGTGATAGAAAGTGACTTTGTAATGCAGGTTTATATGCAACAGCCTTAGAGCTCCCTCCTGTGGTTGTTTGGTATATTCTTTGCTGA